CTGACTCAGACTTACTGGATCTCCATCGTTGCTCTAGGCGTCTCTTTCGGCGCTTCATCTCCTGGAGTTCCTCAGTTTTGTTCCCCATTAATTGTTTAATGGGGTTGGCAGTTAAAAATGCACACAATCTACATTGAAGTTATTTGTATATGAAAATGTGCATACACTCAATGGTTTCATTACAATTTCTGTTTGGAAAAAACAATAAAGTTGAAAAACACATGGAAGATGAATAATAATCTCATGACTGGGATATAGCCCAATTCCCTGTCCGATGAACATATATGGAAGGACCAGCAAAAATTTGAGACCTTTTAGCTCAGTAGTATCAACTGCAAGTGGTAACAGTTTTGCGGGGGGGGGGGATTAGGATTGGGAGATTTTCAAACTAATCTGGAAGATGCCAAAATTGAATCCGGGAACTTTTCCATACAAATTCTGTCATTTGCCCTTGGCCAAAAATCTCATTTCTTGTGCAAAGTGGCCTTTTTAAAAATAAAGGGTGAAAAATGTTTGACTAAGAATTGGACAGGTTACATAATAAAAACTTAATAGAAATCTTCATATAAAAAGTGATTTGCTACAGACCTGACTTGATTTTTATATTATTGCAGAGCAGGCTAGATCTGTGTTTTGTATCCCTGGGGACTATTGTTGAAGGCTGTTGTACATGATGTGCCACAGTTTCACACATTTTGTGCCACATATAGCAAAGTATATCTACCTCAACATGGTGCAGTAATTTGTGTTTATCTCTCAACCATATTGGCCTAAACCCATATATCTAGGCAAAAAATGTGGTCTTTTTGTTTGGGTTGTCTCATTTTAGGAGGAAAGTGACAGGCAGCAGGAAAAAAATGAATGTCCTGGTAATATTTCCTTTCTTTTTTCCGCTGTCCTTCTCTCTTTTCTAGACCTAAGTGCTTCTGACAGACTTTTATTTTATGTTTTATTTTAAAGAGTGATTTATGATTAAAAGTTAATGAAATAGAATTTTCCACAGTGCTTTTATTATATTCCACCAGTTTGAACATTTTTCAAAGGCGCACATTGAAACCCACTGTTCTCTATGAATAAATAATAAAAGCCATGTCTGTACATTATCATTCACGCATTCTCTAGTTGCCCATTGGTAATCTATTTGCCAGTCAGGAATGAGCACTTTATATTAAATTATCTTTAACTAAAACACAAATTAGTTATTACAATTGAACTAATTTAAAATATGAACATATGGTTTTGTGTAATTGAGGCGTACTTCATAAGTTTGTTAGATGGTTTTATTTCAGTACAAAATTGTCTAAAACACTTATGTATGAAGCAAGAAGAACACAATCACTAGCTTTATATACTGAACCATCATTTGGGGCTTGCTAAATAAGCCACAAGACTTGTGTTCATACCTCATACTAAACTATAAACAAATAAATCGGATTATGTCTTAGTGCAATTTCTGAACTACAGGTAATATAAACATTCTCCATAATGCTCAGTAAGTACATTTTGAAGTGATGGTGTGTTGTTTTATGTTTGTTGAAGAAATTTGAAGTTTAATCTCATATTCTAAAGCTTCTTGGTTGGGTGTGCACAAAACAAAAAAATAATACTTTTTTCTGAACCCCAAGAGGATACATTGCATTGTAGATGCTCTGCAGAGCCATTCTGGATGAGTCACAGTCGGTAGAGTGAATTGTGGAATGCTTTTGTTCTGGGTTTTCGCTGAAACAAAACCTGTCTGGATCTTGGAGTGATTTTACTCAGTGAGTAGAGCAAGACAGTTACATAATAATCCATCGTCCCTTCAGCAACTCTAGTTTGTATGCCTAGTTCAATCCTGCTATGGACAAACCTTCCAAAGCCTTGCTTTCCATTTCCATAGCATATTCTATAAAACCATTTCTATCTTTGCAGCACCTCACCTGCTTCCCATCCAGTGTCTCTCCTCCAAAATTGCTTCTGTCAATGTCCATAGCTTTTCCTGCCAGCAAGACACTTTGGTACAGATCAGTCATGTTTTGGGTTATATTGAGAACAAAGCAGACCCATTTTATTTTATTTCCAAAACAAACAGCATGTTTCAGTTCAGAGGCAACCTCTCCAAAGATGTTTTTATGCACATCATGTTTTGTACATTAACCATTTTGCACATCCTTGTGTCTTATATTGATGCAATTATTTCTTAAAATACCCACGGAAGCTATAAGGTTTAACCAAAAACTCTACTTTGAGCACAGCAACTATCATATTCTTTTCTGTGCACTGTATGTTCTGTTTCTTCTCTTAACTATGGCAAACAAATAGAGCAGATGAAGCATTATGAAGCAAAAAGGAAAGTTACAGTGAGCACCAAGAAAGCTCCAGAGAAATCTAGGGCTGCCCTGTAACCAGGTCATTTCTCTGAGCTGTAACTCCTTTCTTGAGTGAAGGCCATATCAGATATTTTCCACCTGTATGAACAGATTACATTTGAGATGCAAAGGGCTTCTGTGTGACAAGGAACAATTCCTTGGGTGCTGCTGATTTGAAAGGTACACACCCCAAACATCCCAATTCAAAGAGCTTAATGGGTTTGATCTGATGGGATTAGACTTGAATTTAATGCAAAAAAACCTAGGTACATTTATAGCCATTTCTGCATCCAATGCTGTTAATCTCTTGGATTGGGCCCCTGGTAAAAAAAAAAAAGCATTAGAGAATGGCAATGAGAAAGTATTTGTAAAAGATTTCATTTATTATATTTATATGCTGCCCTTTTCCCCCGAAGGGGACTCAGAACAGATGATCAGAACAAAATGGACTGTCCTCTTTAGTTAAGAGCTAATGTGGGATACAAGTGAGAAAGAACATTGAGAAAGAATATATAGAAAAGAAATAAGAACTAGTAATTTTTCTTTGTTAGAACAGTTCCTCAAAGTTTACTTTAAAATGGGGGAAATACTGATGATAATTTATTAGTAAAAGAGTAAAGTATTATATTTCTATTGGTGCTTATATTCCTTCCCCATCCTCCAACTTTTAAATATTATTTATTTAAGAGAAGTATGTAGGGGGACTACTTTGACTTCAAAGAAATATGTTTTATGACTCAAGCACTATATTTTCTCAGTGGGTAAGTTTCTGTGATAGTCATTTTGTAAGTGAACCCATTCACCCCCCACTCTTTAAATTTCAAATTACCCCAAACCCAAAAAGTTTCCTATTCTTTATGGAATTACCATGGAGGCCCATTTAATGTAGTGAACTGTATCTCTGTGTTAACATGAATACCATGTTAAAACAAGTTACATCTTGGCATCTTATCTCATCTTAACACAATTGTAATCTTATGAGGAATAGATTGATTCCTCACAGATTGGGTGTATCTCTCATCTGTGTCTCTTTCACCTGATCCTCTTCCCCCACCATTTTTGGATGAATAATCCGAAGCAATGAGCTTCTTGTGCTTATGTAAACCCACTACATCAGTGATGTCAAACTCGTGGTTCTCGGGCTGGATGCGTCATGCGCTGGCTACCCCCACCCCGATTTTAGCGAAGGGGAAAAGTCATG